GCAGCAGAGCTGGGATTTGAATTCAGAAGTTGAGTCTAGACTCCATGTTCTTAATAAGGCAACAGAGCATTAGGCCCAGAGCATTAGGCTAACCTTGAAATGTTATTTATTACATAAGATCCATCTTGAGCTGGGGATATAGCTCAGTGGTAGAGCATATGCTTCATGTGTGCAGAGTCCTGATTCCATTCCCAGCAACCACCACCAAAATCCACCTAGCATCATACTCTGTCTCCAATTTTGTGAAGCTCAAATAAATCGTACTTACACGCTGGCACCACAGACGCCAGTATCCCAGAAGCTTCAAAATGATGCACCTTTCTAAAAGTTTTTATGAAGCAAACATAAAATGGAAAGCAATCAACAGAGAGACCACACAGTCTGACTGACGTGTATTTACTGAACCACTGTGCTTACCTGGGGCCACTGACCCAACCGGAACCTCATTCAGGTTCTCACTTCCAACTATCAACACGATACCACCCTTTGTTTTAGAGTCAGGATCCAGGCACTCTGACTCCCTAAACAACGGCAGCTCAGTGATATGATGTTAAGAGGTGCTTTTCTTTTCCCTAACAGCCTCTTGTTTTCTCCAAGGACCAACTACACATGAGGAGATGATCAGCAGCACACAGTAGACATGACTGGGGTGGGAGGGTCATGGAAAGCAGGAGCGGGCAATTCAGAAAGAAGGCAAGTAGAAAGTCGTCAGTCTCTAGGTTAGGCAATGCATTTTATTTTATAAATAGCATTCTAACTCAGAAAAGGATAACCCTCAGTATTTATTATAAGTATTTTTCTAGTTTCCCAAAGCACAGCACATAATCCAAAGATGATTTTTGTCATGATTTAGTCATAAAACACACTCCACTGGATGAATGCTAACACATGGCAAATAGGAAATATACACTCTTTATACACATACTATGGCACTGTCCACTAGGATCTTAAAAAGACTCTCATTTCTTCTTATCTTTCAATAGCTAACATTTGAAATGTATATATACTTTAAAAACCATGTAATAAGCAGGGCGCTGTGGCGCACGCCTGTAATCCCAGTGGCCCGGAAGGCTGAGGCAAGGAGGATCACGAGTTCAAAGCCAGCTTCAGCAACAGCAAGGTGCTAAGCAACTCAGTGAGACCCTGTTTCTAAATAAAATACAAAATAGGGCTGGGGATGTGGCTCAGTAGCCAACTGCCCCAATCAGGTTCAATCCCTGGTACCAAAAAAGAAAAACACCATATAATGAACACTTATTTTTCCCATTACCTCAATGTTTAATTGAAACGATTGCGATCATTTCAAAGATTAACAGTGTGTCTTACTGGAAAGATGAAATCCAAAGAATTACGAAGGCTGAAAAATCATTTATTTTATTCTGCTTACTCATCTATGTGGTGTTTATTACCTGAAGCTCTGAGCTGTGATATGAAGTGGTTCTATCTCACTAGGGTGACACATCTGGCTCTAGGCTATGTCAAAAGAGAGCTCCCAAAACTATTAATGTTACTATTTCGAGACACTGCAGCCTGCTGAATCAAATGGGTGCTGAGGTCCCAAAGCAACCATTCGGAAGGAAAGCACGTCTGGCTTCTAGGATGGTTTCAAAATGCGATCTTCAGGCCTGGTCGACACACTGTTTCGAAGACACCTGATCCAAAACATCTACACTCAGGGACTCAGGAGAGCCGCTGCTACCACCCCGTCACCCTCACTCTAAAAGGCACTGACCTATAAAATAAAAATAGAAAAAGCAAAGCATAAAAACTACTTAATTTTTCTTGCTTAACTTCTTATTATGGAAAAGTTTACCGACAAAAAATTAGAATAGAATCAGGAACCCTCAAAAACCCATAACCCAGTTTTAACAACTTGCCAGTTTATGGCCAATTCTATTTCTTTTTTCACCCCTCACCCCAATTATTTTAGGCATTATTACTGGTATTACCATATATAGTTATCCCTTGGGGGATGTCACAATCATCCATAGGGGACTTCACAGGGAATTCCAGAACCCCTGTAGAATATGAAAATTCAGGGACACTCAAGTCCCTTATATAAAATGTATAGTATTTGCATGTGACCTATGTACATCCTCCTTTCTAGCTGAAATCACTTCTAGATTACTTGTAACATGTAATACATTGTAAATGCTATGTAAGTAACTATACTGTACTGTGTAGAGATAAGAGAAAAGTCTATCCATGTGCAGTGCAGTTGCAATTGGTAAAGAAAATGTGATATACATGCTCGTGCAGTGCAGTTGCAATTTTTTCCTCCAAAAATTGTTGATCAACAGTAAGCTGAATCCATAGATGTGAAACCCACAAATAGGGCTAACTATACTATGTTATAGTTTATTATATTAGTATGTACCTCTAAAAGATAAGGACTTTATACTCATAAAATGTTGGTGGGACTGCAAATTGGTATAACCTACCCTGGAAAGCAGTATGAAGATTCCACAAACAAACAAATAAACAAACAAACAAAAAACAGGAAAGGAACCACTAAATGACCCAGCTATCCCACTCCTTGATAGATATCCAAAAGATCTAAAATCAGCCTACTATAGGGATATAGCCACATCAATGTTTATAACAGCAACAGTTCACAATAGCCAAGCTATAGAACCAGCCTAGGTGCCCATCAACAGATGAATTGGTAAAGAAAACATGATATACATACACAATGGAGTTTTATTTAGTCATAAAGAAGAATGAGATTATGGCATTTGCTGGTAAATGGATAGAACTTGAGAATATAATGCTAAGTGAAATAAGCCAAACCCAGAAAGTCAAGAGTTGAGTGTTTTCTCTCATAAGCAGAAGCTAGAACAAAATAAGGGGGAGGAGGAAGTGGTGGGGGGATTCCATGAAAATAGAACAGAGGTCAGTGCAGTAGAGAGAGAGGATTGAAGGGGAGGAAAGAGGGTCAGGAAAGGGAAGGACAGCGGAATGAATCTGACCAAAGTTTCCTGTGTACATATATGAATATACCACAGTGAATTTCACCTTTAAGTATATCCATAATATACCAAATGGGAAAAAACACCCACAAATTAAATAAAAGAAAAATCAGAGTAGGGAAAGGGAACAGGGCAAGGGAGGTGAGGAGGGAAAGGAGAGGTAATAAGGCCTGAAGTGGAACACATTATGGTCCATGCTGGTATAATTATCAAAATGAACCCCAATATTATGTATCAACTATAACTAATTAAAAAATTATTTCATTAAAAAAAATAGCCCCTCCAAAAAGGTAGCAGTCATCTTTGGGAGAAGGAGGCAACAGCGAGAGGGAGGGGAGGCTTTGCTGTAGTATCTTCCAGTTAATTTAAGATTTAACTGCAAGAGAACACGCTGTGTTTGGAAGCACCGCAGAAAGGCTGCCATGACCAGAGGCAGGCAGAGGGGCCCAGAAAACAGGAGGTGGAGTTTGGATGAAAGATGCCCAAGGAACAGCTTGTGTAGATTCACACACCCGCAGGTGACAATGTCATCAAGTACAGGACACGAATTCTCTATGTGAGTAAAAAGTAATAGAGAGCTGAGGGCTCAACGACATTACAGAACGCAATTATGATTCCCATGATGTGCAGGGCCAGGCATTTATGGGATGAAACGGACTCACCTATACCTCTCTGCTGCCATATCCAGCCACATGAGGCTGAGAGAATCCATCACTGAAAGCACCAGGCCTTTAAAGGGCACTTCAAAAACACTTCTTTTTTTTTTTTTTTAAACAAGTTAATGTCTGAACTCTCTCCTTTTCCTTACTGTTATTTATCTGCCTTATAGGTTGGAAAAATGCTATTTCCTTTCCTGGTGTTCGGTTCTACTTGTTATATCTGTCCAACATTAACACAGCCTTGAGACCCACCAGGGCAGTTGCTGGGACTCCCTTGTGAATCTTGTTTACACTGAATTTCTATATAACAAAGTACTCCCACATCTCCCAGCATTCTGATCAGTCGAGTGGGGATCCTGAGAAAATGAGATAAAAGGTAGCTGACTTTTAGGACCTTGTTTATTTCTGTCACAATGCAACTCCTCTGATAAAATAAAGATGTTACACATATAGACCAAAGTACAGGTTGACAGATCTCGATTAGACCCACTAAAATTCTAGACTTCTAAATTCATTTAAAGAGAAATTTAAATATCACTTTCCAATCTCACTTGAAGAGGCTAATCAAATATTCCCCAGTAAAGGTCAAAAGGAAAATGTCTTTAAGGAAGAGACTTCTAATGTTTTAAACTTTTAACTTTTCATTAGTTTGGGTATAATAAGTTCTGAGAACTTTAAAATAGCTGATTCTCTCTTTTATTTATTTATTTATTTTTTGGTACTGGGGGTTGAACTCAGGGGCACTCGACCACTGAGCCACATCCCCAGCCCTATTTTGTATTTTATTTAGAGACAGGGTCTCACTGGGTTGTTAAACATCTTATGGTTGCCGAGGCTGGCTTTGAACTCGAAATCCTCCTGCCTCAGCCTCCCGAGACCCTGAGATTACAGGCATGTGCCACCGCACTGGCTCTTGATTCTCTTAATTGGATTATAGCTTGCCTCTAATAACTATATTTCTTATTTTGTGTAAAAAGAATCCAAAAATCCTGTATTTCGAGGTGGTATATAGCACTACCTCGCCTAAACTCAGGCAGTATGACTTTTTATATTGATGTTGTTTTACTGCATTTAACCAACAAGACCTATTTCTTTTACAAAAAATGCTTCCCAGAGCAAATAACATATGCACAATTCAAAATGAAACTAACCTAAAGTGTGGTTGGGTCTAACAATGCTCTTCATACAAATTGCCCAGTTTTAACCTAATGTCATTATTAATTAATTACTATTAATTAATGTTATTATTAATGCTATCATGTTCTTGTTGGCCTGGAAAAGGGCATTTCCAGTCAGCTTAGAGAATTACTCCATCCATAACTAAAAACACCAACAGGAAGTGCACCTGAGGCCACACCTCTCCCAGGGGTACCTGTTTCATCCGGGGAGCTGGGGGAAGCACTGTCTTGGGACAATGTTGTCCAGCTCGACTCCTCATCGCTTGGCGCCAAGTTCTGGATCCGGTGGAGTGCACAGTCGGTTTTGGCCCCTGTCTTAGGATGATCCTTTTTGGTCTCTGGGCTGGAGGACACTGTGGCTACTTGCCCGTCTTCCGGGCTGGACTGGGGTTTGTTTGGTTTCTGCAGCAGCAAGTCACCATTCCCGATGATGGCAGCAGGGACCTGGCCCTGGCCTGGCTGGGCTTTCTCTTCCCCGACCCCATGGCAGTTGCCAAGGTTCTGCTCCAGTTCTCGGGCTGAGGTTTCCAGGTCTGCATAGTAATTTAGGAAGCTCTTAGTTCTCCTGGGCTGGGAGGGTAAAATCTCACAGCTGGAGGAATCCTGTGGGTGGGGCTCTTTACCTTCTAACTTCTCAGAAGTTATGTTGATGACTGCAACGGGGCTGATGTTTTTGTTGGGGTCCTGCTGCCCTTGCTCGGCAGCCTTTCGGAGCTGGTTCTCCCCATTTTTCACCAGCTTGATGTTGGCTGAGCCGTTTCCCAGGAGGGGCTGTGCAGCCGGATCCGAGAGGCCCATTGCCGCCTGGATGTTAGTCAGTGCATATTTTTTCCTGCATTTGGGAGGTGTGCTGTTCTTGGTGTCTGAGTGTTTTATTTCAGCATTCAGCAGTTCATTGTGTGAAGAACGGAGATTAAGGGTGTTTGGTGGTGTGGCTGGGCTGTTCCGATTTGCGACGTCTGTGGTTCCGCTGCTGGCCATAAACACTGCCAAGGTGTCCGCACCTGAGTCACCTGGGGAAAAGGAAAATTGGTCATTAGATGCTGGTGCTGATGGCATGAGTTAGTATGCAGCGTGAGCTGACATTTTTATAAGGAAAATTGAAAGAATCAATGCTTCTGCTGCATAATACACTCTTGCAGAACTGACCCATTTCCCCTCCTTATTTCACAATCAGTTCCTATGTTAAACAGGAGCAAATAAAAGGCTTAGTGTGGATACCCAAAAGTCAATTTTTAGAAAAGCTAAGACAGCCGAGGATCTAAGTTTTACTTGGAATAAAAAAAAAAAGCATTTTAAATTCATATAAAAGCATTTCCTTCTGGTGGTTGGTCTTCAGTTTTCATAACCTGAAAATCATCCCCTTTCCAAACATTTACATCACATTTGTATTCTATAGTTCCTTCCAGCCACAAAAACAAAAACCTTGCTCAAAATTCCTCTGGGGCTCCAGTTTTCTTAATTAACCTGAGAGGTCATTGTTCAGTGATGTTACGTACATCCATGTTTAGAAAAAGTGTTCCGAATGTCTGGAAAACCAAACCTCCATTAGAGCTTGCTCAGGTCTTCATGAACATTTTTGACCTGGGCTCACTGTTTGTGCCCAACAGAAATTTTGAAGAAATGGCTTAATTTCTCAAGAACACAAACACAAGCAGTATTACTACTAAAAATGCAGCCTTGAGCCCTGGACCACAGACAACATGTCACAGAGTCCCCAAAGGCATCTGAATATATTCCACTGAATTAAAATACAGACTCAGCTGTCTACAGTCACCACATGCCCTTGCAGAACTCCTGGCAAGCTATCTGACAGTTGCATTTATCTCAGATATTGTTCGCACCATCAGTGATTTATTCCGTATGTCTCTTGTTAGGGAGAAAGAAAGGTTTTTCAGACTAGAAGAGAATAAAATTCATCAGGAAGAATTCCAAAGGTTTCAAGTTTCTCAGTTTCTGAGCAATGGCTTCCTTCTTATCTGATCCTCTGCCCTCCCCATCAACTTTGGTGATCTCCACACCAGGGGCAGAAGAACCAAAGCACAGCTCCTGACATTCTTGAAATTGTATTCTGACAACTCCCTCTTCCTCCCCCAAGCAAAACAGGGATCTTCACAGAAGAGGAGGGCAAGAATTTCTCCCTGTTTGGGAGCTTAGAGTTATCTTTTTATTGTCAAATACTCAAGTTGGGCAATTTTAGAAGAGTCACTCATTCTCGAATCTTCCAGGAAGCTAGGCAATGTCCATGTGCTCTAGGCAATACCCATATTTGCAACAGAATGACCATGTGGCCCATAAGATAGCTAAGGGCTATCACCCAAAGAGGCTAGATTTGAGGCCACATTCTTTAAAATTATAATAAATCCTGCTGACCCAGGAATTACTTCAGCTTCTCGGTCTCATTTATAGGAATAGAGAATGCAGTGTGTTTCTTCCCTTTAAATAATGCTCGGGAAATTGAATTTTTTTTTTTTAAAAATTAAGACTGATCACTACTACCATGTTATGAAAAACATGTTCCAATTTATAATTCAATCTCATTCAAGAGTAGTATTTGATATGAGCAAATCCCAGAATGAACTCACATGAACTTTTCCCCAAGACATATCTACAGCATAGATACAAGGTCCACTCCCTTGAGAATTTAAAGTAACATGAGAAAGTGGAAACCTGCTAGCTTCCTAAAAGGCATAGCAACCAACTTCTATGAAGCTGTTTTATGATTTTAGGTATTGTATACTAGCATGTTATTAGGGAAAAAATTTCATTTGTTTATAACTGTAAACATTTTCAGAAAGAATGCCATCAGAATTTCTAGGTGATTTTAATATGTAAGTAGCTTTTATATCCTCTAAGTGACATACCACAACTTTTAGCCATGTTCTCATAAGGCTTTTGGGATCCCTCTCAGTGACCAGGTCACTCTCTCCCTTGCTTAAAAATCATGGAGGGTTTGGGAGGGGAAGGCTGGGTTAGAACAGAACCATCCTGCACAGAGTGGATGTGCAAACTCAGCTCTGTATTTCCTGTAGATGGTTGATGTGAGGATTGACAGTGAAAAGGCCTGCAGAGAGCTTTGGCATAATATGGAACAATAAATCTGAGCACCCCTTACTTCTTTATACCCAAGAGACAGAGCACAGGGTTCCACTACGAAAAAATTAAAATTCCTCAAGGGTTCAGAGGGAGGAGATTTGCATTTCTATTTAAGTGAAATAAAAATCTTATAAAGTTGCTTAACACCTAATATTTAGCTTTTTTTCTTTGGAAATCATGGGACCTAAGAAATAAGACCAGATACTTTCAACATAGACAAAAAGGAAGTTTTTTAAGACTCTCCATTTCTTTGCTATAAAAAATGGAGATAATAACAGTAGCTACCCCTTCCAGAGCTTTGCTGAGGACTAAGAGATGACTTGTCAAGCATTTAACCTAATGGCTGCATATCATAAGAGCTCAAAACACTCTAGAGATTATTATCACTTTACAGTTCCCTCCTTTCCTGCATGCTTTTGTTTCTGTGGAAGACAGACACACAATATTCACAGAAATCAGCTAAGATGGTGGCTGACAGGTGAGAGGAGGAAATGGTTTTCTCTTCTTGGGGTGTAGAAGATCTGAAGGGAAAAGGATAGATGATCACCTGAGGATCCTGTGCCAATCAAGACATGAAAGGAGAGGTGGCACAGAGAAGGGAAAGAGCTGGCTAGGGGTTCTGTGAGGTGTGCTCTAGACTTGGGCCTGACCCTGAGGCAGTAGGGTGTAGAATGAATTGGAAGCTATGGTGTATATGTGAGTGTGTGTAAGGCATATTTGTTTTTATGTTGGTATCTTCCACCACCACATTCTCCATGAAGGAGATGACTATGGCAGAAAGTCATTAAAGAAGCAATGTAAAGTAAGAGATCAAAACAACAATGGTCATCAGAGAAACAGTGGAATGAGGTAGAAAGAGGTATCACATTCACTGTGATGGTTAATATGAACTATCAATTTGATTGGACCGAGAGATATCTAGGATCCAGAGGCTTCTGGGAAGACTTCTAGATTTGATAAACAAATTCAACAAAGCAGCAGGATACAAGAAGAACATACAAAAAAAAAAAAAACAATAGTTTTCTTTTACTCCAATAATGAGTCCACCAAGAAAGAAATCAAGAAAACTACTTCATTCACCATAGCCTTAGAAAGTAGCAATAACAACAACTTAGGACTAAATATAACTAAGGAGGTAAACGACCTCTACAATGAAAATTATAAAACAAGGAAGAAGACCTTAGAAGATGGAAGACCTACCATGTTCATGGAGAGGCAGAATTAATACAATCACAATGGCCATATCACTAAAAAAAAAAAAAATGCAATTCCCTGAGTCAAGGGTTCAATATTTTCTCTCCTGAGGAAGCTAGAGAGAAGGAAAAAAATTAAAAAGGGGATCTCCCATAAATAAAAGAGAGATCAGTAGAGGCAGGCAACCAAGAGGGAAGGAGGATGGGAGAGAAAAGGGAAGAACTGGGGAATAAAGTTGACCAAATCATGCTATGTACATGTATGAATATTCCACAAGGCATTCCAATTTCATATATAATTATAATGTACCAATTAAAAATAAATTAACACGAGCTGGGGTTGTAGCTCAGTGGTAGAGCGCTTGCCTAGCATGTGTGAGGCCCTGGGTTCAATTCTCAGCACCGCATACAAATAAATAAAATAAAGGTCCAACAATAACTAAAAATATACAAAAGTAAATAAATAAACAGAAGAAAAATCAACAGAGCAAAGGGAATGGGGCGGAGGGGGGTTAGGAAGGTTAAGGGGAAAAGTATTAAAGACTGAACTACAGCAAATTATGTTATATGCACTTAGGAATGTGATAAAAATGAACCCCACTATTATGTATAACTACAATGCACTAAAAAAACCATTTTTTAAAATAACATTTCTTGGGGCTGGGATTGTGGCTCAGTGGTAGAGCGCTTGTCTAGCATGTGCGAGGCCCTGGGTTCGATCCTCAACACCACATAAAAATAAGTAAACAGAATAAAGGTATTGTGTCTAACCAAAAACCAAATATTAAAAAAAAAAAATAACATTTCTTGGTGTATTGATAGGGTGTTTCCAGGCTGTCATGTGGGACAGCAAACTGAGTCAGGGAGATACCCATCAGAAATGTGGGTGGCACAGTCCAATAAAATGGGGTCCAGGTGGAGCCAAATCCAGAAGGAGGACTCCATGGAAGATGAGAGCTGAATTTCTCTTTAGCAGAGTGTCTATTGCTGCTGCCATCCCCCAAGGACATGGGACTTCAGCTCCTTTATTTTTCCAAAGCAGCTTCTGACCAGTAACTCTCCAGGGAGGGCTATATGACCGGTACCCCTGGTTCTAAGACTCCAGCTTGTTGGACTGAGCAGCTACTGGTTCATTTGGTTCTCCAGCTTACAGATGGCCCTTATGGGACGACTCAGCTTCTGAATGTGCAAGCCAATCTAATAAATCCCCTTTTATAATCATTCATACATACATATGTCTGTATGAATATGTATGTATGAAAAATGTTGATCCTACTGACTCTGTTCCTCTGGAGAACCCTGATTGATAAGTTCACCACTCACAGGGCTGGCTCCATCTCCACATTCCTACTTTCTGGCATTAGAATGGACTCTGTTCTTTATCAAAGGGGAGCAAGACCTAGACATTAAGGTCAGTTGAGAGGTTACTGCTACAATCCAGCTAAGACAGCGAGGAGAGGACAGTAGCTTTTTTCCAAAAGAGTTCCAGCTCTGGTCAATCATCTCCTGACCAGTGTTGGGGTCCAATCTCTTGAGGTCATGGAAAGTGCACCCTGAAGAATCCGCACTTGGGAGTTCCTGTTTATGAGCTGAAGTCAAGGAGGCTGGAATGCGGCATATGGCAGGACAGCAATAACTCCTCACACTAGGCTAATTCTTGTGGGGCACGATGACCCTGTTTAAGGAGAAAAATCAGGCCCCAACTGTACTATCTGCTACATGCT